AGAGCTATTTAGGTAGAGTAGTTTCTAAGCTCTTTTATGTAAGATTGTCTGAAATAACCCAAAAGCTTAGTTACCCTAGATACTCTTATTGTTTACTTTAAAACTAACTTAAAGTTTCCTTTTCCCCATCTTTAGCTACTAAAGCATTACAGAGAACTTCATAAATGCAGAAAGTTGTAGTTTATAAATGGGCTGTTTTACAAAAGTTTTAGCCTAAGTAGATTATGTGGAAACCAGGCCACATTTCCCTGAAGAAAAGTCATGATTTAAGTGATAGCTACGCTCTCAGGCTAAGATACAAATACCTCTGTAAAATGTGTCACAGTTTAAATCCCGTGTATTTACAATCAAGCAAGGAATCATGAAGGAATGGTACACGTTTCCCCAGCTGGCCCTTTGGAGACTGGGAGTACATCACAGGTCAGGTTTCTAACTTCAAGTATAATGCCAGCCATTTTGGCTAAAATGGGAACTGTGTTTTCCACAATCTCTGTTCATGTATGGTTCTTTGTTAGACTGGATCAAAAGAGGCAGCTGCCCAAGGTTTGAAAGTAGAGGTGACACAGCAGCCACTATCCCATCAGGTCACATCACAGTCATGTGGGGAAAGAAACGGCTGCAGAGGTGTCCAGCAGGCTCCAGCCTGACTTCACACTGTACCCTGCACCGCTTCACATCCCCTTCTTCCCAACTGAGGGGCCTGTGACCCGCCAACAGTGGCCTCAGTCCACTGCTTGGCTCAGACTCGGGAGGGCCATCTTCCCCTGGGGCTGCCAGAGTACATCCTCTCCCTAAGCTGGATGGACGGGTTCTTGGAGGCACTGGGGGTGTGACCAACTGTGCAGGACCCCCCAACTCTCCCTGCAAACCTCTGCCTTGTCCCATGACACTCTCAACCGTTTTAATTATACAGAGTTCAGTAGCATTAACTACAATCACACTGTAATGTAACAGATATCTAGAACTTGCAAAACCGAAACTGTACCCAATGAACAGTCCCCCATTGCTCCTGGCAACCCGAGTTCTATTACTGCCTCTATGAATTCCACTATTCAAGACATGTCACATAGGTGGAACCATACAGTATCTGCCTTGTAGGACTGGCTTATGCCGGCTGACATCATGGACTCAAGGTTCACCCATGTGGCAATAGGTAACAGGATTTCCTTCCATTTTGAGGCTGAGCAATATTCCACTTTGTGTATGCTCTACATTCTCCTCATCCACTCATCTGTCAATGGCCATTTGCGCCGCTCCCTACACCTGCAACCCCTGAATACGGGGTGAATACCAAAGTTGAGATGACTGCCCACAGTGGCTCATGCCTGTAATGCCAGCATTTGGGGAGGTCAAGGTGGGCGGATCATTTGAAGTCAGGAGTTTGAGACCAGCCTGGGTAACATGGTAAAACCCCATAACCATCACTACTAAAAATACAAAAATTAGCCAGGCATGGTGGCACATGCTTGCAATCCCAGCTACTCAGAAGGCTGAGTCAAGAGAATCACTTGAACCCAGGAGGCAAAGGTTGCAGTGAGCCAGAATCACCACTCTACTGCAGCCTGGATGACAGAGTGAGACCCTGTCTTAAAAAAAAGAAAAAAAAAATGTCATGACTGGGAAAACAAACGGAGTGACCTACAACCCAGCGATGTGCATGTATGTTAACCAAAAGACCCACAGAAGAATGTGCACACCAGGACCATCTGCAAGAGCTAAAAACGGGCTATTTTACCAAATGTCCAATAGATAAAACACGGATAAACAATAGGACACTCCAAACCACGCCCTTTACCTCAGCACTATTGACATTTGGCGCCAGATCATTCTTTGCCGTGAGGGCTGCCCTGGGTATTGCAGGGGCCTCCGCAGCATCCCTGGCCTCCACCCACTAGAAGCCAGTGGCATCCTCCTGCCCCCAGTTGTGACAAACTCAAATGTCTCCAGATGTTGCCACATGTCTTCTGGAGGACAAAATCACCCTCAGGGGAGAACCAATATTCCAGAGAAAGGATGGCATATTAGAAATGGTCACCCATGGCTCACGTGGAACAGAAAAACAAAACCAAGGCACCTCTAAAGTCACGTTTTAACCTCCTGCCCTGTAACACGCATTTACCATGGCAGGAAGCAGGCCACTGCCGGCCTCAAGCAAATCATCCTCTCTCTTTCCTCCAGCAGCAATGCAGAAGAGCAGTTTGATCAGGCGGGGTGGGAGGGGGAGGCCACTGCATTTAATCAAGTCCTACTTACCACCATGCAAAACAAGCCTTGCTGTTCTGGACACCATCCCCACCCTGCCCAAACATCACACACTGCAACAACAGGCCCTTTGTCCTTCTTTCCGAGAGAAAGTGGTCTTTCTTGCCTGCAGGGCTTTGTTTACTGGGTCCCCTCTGGAAACACCACGTACCCCATCGCTGCTGTGCACACACTATGCCCAGCTTGCCTACACTCAGCCCTTAGGACGACACCCTGAATCCCACCGTCTCCACCGAGGGACTCTGTCCATCTCCTGGCCTCTCTGGTGCCTGGGGCACATGGCCAGTCTCTGCTCCTAACCCTGCTGACAGTTACCAGCTTCTCATCTCACAACAAGACTAGTGTCTCCCCGACAACAAAACCCAAATGATATCGGTTTCTTCCTTTCCTATACAAAAGCTGGTCACAATGCAATAGGCAATATTTCTGGAGAGGACGGACAGAGAGGAAAAGAATCATCGAAGATAAGTGAAGTTCTCTCCAAAGCCCTGCTTTCCTCTTAGTACCGTGAGAGGGAAAAACAAAACCTGTACCATATTCCTGGTCTTTCAAGTCCATCTTTGTTGTTGTTGCCGTTGCTGACATGGAGTCTCGCTCTGTCGCCCAGGCTGGAGTGCAGTGGCAAAATCTCAGCTCACTGCAACCTCCGTCTCCCAGGTTCAAGCAATTCTTCCTGCCTCAGCCTCCCAAGTAGCTGAGATTGCAGGCGCCTGCCACCACACCCACCTAATTTTTGTATTTTCAGTAGAGATGAAATTTCACCATGTTGGCCAGGCTGGTCTCAAACTCCTGAACTCAGGTGATCCACCTGTGTCAGCCTCCCAAAATGCTGGGATTACAGGTGTGAGCCACTGCGCCCGGCCTCATGTCCATCTTAGAAGTATCAAGAATTGTCTAGTCAAAGCACCCCCAGCAGGCTTCCAGTCAACCCGGAACACAGACCTACCCAGATTCTCACCCCTTCTCACCAAGCTTTTTTATTTTTATTTTTTTTGAGACAGAGTTTCACATTTGTTGCCTAGGCTGGAGTGCAGTGGCATGGTCTCGGTTCACTGCAACCTCCACCTCCTGGGTTCAAAGCAATTCTTCTGCCTCAGCCTCCTGAGTAGCTGGGGTTATAGGTGCCCACCAACACGCCCAGCTAATTTTTAGTAGAGATGGGGTTTTGCCATGTTGGCCAGGCTGTTCTCGAACTCTTGACCTCAGGTGATCCACCCGCCTTGGCCTCCCAAAGTGCTAAGATTACAGGGGTGAGCTACTGTGTGCAGCCTCGCTGAGCTTTTGAAAGCAAGTCTTCACATCACTGAAGTACCCGCTTGAACAGAGATGACTGGGATACCGTAATCTCGCGGTTTTCCAAGTGAAAGGACTATCTGAAAGAAGTGATGTGCAGTCAAGACACAGGAAAAGGAGCTGCTGGCCACTAGAACAGTGTCGCTGCTTCTCAGAGCGCACAGCTGTGTGCTTCCATGGACATTCCCATGCTGCTGCGGTTTCAAAGACATGGGGCTTGTTCTGTGAGATAATCTAATGCCGCCACCAAGCAACGTCGAGGAGACCTAGAGGGGCTCCGAGCGAGGCTGCTGCACCTGTCCCTGGAGTGAACTCAGAGGGCCCCTCAAGCCTTTGACTTTTTATTGGGTAACATTCAGATGATCTCACCCATCACGAGGGCTAGCTTTCTTTTTTGAGAAACTCTGCAGTGATGTCTTTGTCACAGCCTCGGCAGCAAAGCCTAAGAAGGCAACACAGGGAAAACACAAAGCCCTGGAGTGCACATCCCAGGGCTCGCAGGGCCTGGGAGGGGTTGCCAGTGGAGGGGCATGTACAGAACACATGCCCTCAAGATGCGGTCTACAGCCTCAAGCACTGGGCCTCATGGCAAAGGGGCAGGGTACTCGTTCTGAAGGAGCAGGCACTACCCTGTGTCCGGCATGGGGAAGTGAGCATCCAGGATACACAGATTTTGCAATATGTTTAATGCAGCTAAAAATCTAGAATTTGGGGGGCGGGCTGGGTAACCTCCCTGTGTCCACAAATGTTGGCAACCTTTTTGCTTTTAAAACTAAGTGAAAGCAGGCTGGGCACCTACATGTCCTCTTTCTGCATCTTCAAAGTTGACCTCTCTATCAGGGCTTCATACAAGTCCCATGTTCTACAGGAAGATTGCACCTTTTGGAACTGATGTCGTTCTCTCTACCCCGTTACTAATATCAGAGGATCCCTGGCAGCCTTCAGCCCTGCCCTCCTTAATATCTGAATCCACCACGGAGACTGGAGCAGCCTCGTGCCCCCTTGCAGTGCAGGGTGGCGTGTGCGGTCCCAGTGGACAGGGGAAAAGCAGAAGTCAGCTGCAGGCTTGAAGACAGCCTTTGTCTCTGCAATCAAAGGGACAGAAATGTCTGGTACCACCCTTTCCCTTTTCTTCTGGTCTTAAACAAAGACAGGATGCCTGAGGATGCAGCAGCTGCCATGCATCTGGGAGAGAAAGACCTGAAGAGTCACAGAGGCCAGGAATAGCACAGCCACTTGGCCGGAAGCAGAGGTGCCAGGAGTGGGCTATTCAGGACAACGCTGCATCCCAGGGGCAAACACTCCAGTCCAGGATCCCCAGTGAGGCAGTTAGAAAAATGGAACGACTCTTCCCAGAAAGCACTGACATGTCTCAAGACTCATCATTATAGAAGTTCTGATGATTTTTAGTTCAATGTTTGTAACTTAAAAACCAACACCCGGGCCTGCTGCGGAGGAACGGTTGTTGGTTTCTGGTGGGTTCAGGTCCTCGGCTGGTCGGGACTCCGGTGTTCTGCTTCTTTCCGCCGAGCTGCTGCCTGGTGAAGAGGAAGCCATGGCGCTCCGAGTCACCAGGAACTCGAAAATTAATGCTGAAAATACGACGAAGATCAGTATGGCAGGCGCAAAGCGCGTGCCTATGGCCCCTGCTGCAACCTCCAAGCCCGGACTGAGGCCAAGAACAGCTCTTGGGGACACTGGTAACAAAGTCAGTGAACAGCTATAGGCCAAAATGCCTATGAAAAGGAGGGAAAACCTTCAGCTACTGGAAAAGTTATTGCTAAAAAACTACCAAAACCTCTGGAAAAGGTACCTATGCTGGGGCCAGTGCCGGTGTCCCAGCCAGTGCCAGAGCCAGAACCTGAGCCTGTTAAAAAAGAAAAACTTTCGCCTGAGCCTATTTTGGTTGACACTCCCTCCCTAAGCCCAATGGAAACATCTGGATGTGCCCCTGCAGAAGAAGACCTATGTCAGGCTTTCTCTGATGTAATTCTTGCAGTAAATTATGTGGATGCAGAAGATGGAGTGGATCCAAACCTTTGTAGTGAATATGTGAAAGATATTTATGCTTATCTGAGACAACTTGAGGAAGAGCAAGCAGTCAGACCGAAATACCTACTGGGTCGGGAAGTCACTGGAAACATGAGAGCCATCCTAATTGACTGGCTAGTACAGGTCCAGATGAAATTCAGGTTGTTGCAGGAGACCATGTACATGACTGTCTCCATTATTGATCGGTTCATGCAGAATAATTGTGTGCCCAAGAAGATGCTGCAACTGGTTGGTGTCACTGCCATGTTTATTGCCAGCAAATATGAAGAAATGTACCCTCCAGAAATTGGTGACTTTGCTTTTGTGACTGACAACACTTACACCAAGCCCCAGATCAGACAGATGGAAATGAAGATTCTAAGAGCTTTAAACTTTGGTCTGGGTCGGCCTCTACCTTTGCACTTCCTTCGGAGAGCATCTAAGATTGGAGAGGCTGATGTTGACCAACATACTTTGGCCAAATACCTGATGGAACTAACTATGTTGGACTATGATATGGTGTACTTTCCTCCTTCTCAAATTGCAGCAGGAGCTTTTTGCTTAGCACTGAAAATTCTGGATGATGGTGAATGGACACCAACTCTACAGCATTACCTGTCATACACTGAAGAATCCCTTCTTCCAGTTATGCAGCACCTGGCTAAGAATATAGTCATGGTAAATCAAGGGCTTACAAAGCACATGACTATCAAGAACAAGTATGCTACGTCGAAACATGCTAAGATCAGCACTCTACCACAGCTGAATTCTGCACTAGTTCAAGATTTAGCCAAGGCTGTGGCAAAGGTGTAACTTGTAAACTTGAGTTGGAGTACTATATTTACAAATAAAATTGGCACCATGTGCCATCTGTACATACTACTATTGCATTTACTTACTTTTAATAAAGCTTGTAGCCCCTTTAAAAAAAAAAAACAAAAACCAACACCCAACAGAATAGTTCTAAAGAGCAAAACTTTATTCACTTGTGTAATTAAAATGTGAAACCATTGAGGGGTATAATCTATTAATGTGTCTGAGAAACAAGCAAAGAAAAATGATACTGTCTGGCTGTTTTTATGTGTTTAAGACACAAATTGCATCTGCCCTAAAAATGGGACTACAGGGAGGTAGTTTTTTATTATGCTAAACACACTCCTCATCTCATCAGTGCTATTATTTCTCCATGCTGAACTCTTGTTAGAATCAAACCAAACCAAACCAAAATTCTCTAATTTGTAAGCCTCCTCTGAAAGTACTTAAGATTTATGCCATTCTAATCAAGACAACACTGAACAAAACCCAGAAGCCCTTTGTTGACTTTTTCCAGCAGACAACTCTCAAACGCAAAGCATTTATTTTTCCCAAGTTCATTCAGTTGTGCTAAAAAAAAAAAAAAAAAAAAAAAAAGGAAACATTCTTAAGTCTTTAAAAAAATGACTCCCATTCAAAGTAATTAATTCTTCTGAGACAGCAGCACTCAACCTCAGCTAAAGCCGAGCAACTTGGGAAGCTTTTAATGCGTTTTGGTGGGGATGGGGGTGTGCAACCTTCTGCCGGGATGGTGGAATCTGCCCACCTCTGCTTTTTCCAAGTTGAAACTCACAGTAGTCATCCATCTGCCACAGCGCTGAGTTAAGCATGTGCCTAGTTCTTAGTGGGCAAGAGTTTGAAGTGCAAGGCAACGGGGCGACTGACACACCCCATGGTCCGGCAAGTCAAGGATGGGTCCATTACTTCTTCCTAGGACTGGCAGTTCCCACTTTCCTTGGCAAAAAGCCTCAGCTTCAAAGCTGTTTCTGAAACCATAGCAGCTCTGTTTCACTCCACATCCTGTACTGTATTCAGTCCTTTTAGGGAAAAAAATCTGATGCAAAAACAAAAATTTTCTGTTTGGATTAATATGGGAATATTTGTGATTTTTATCGAGTTCAAAAATTGGCGCATCAGCTATTTTCCATGACTGGTTAAAAAAAAAAAAAATTCTGCCCTTAAATTCTAAAAACAAAGTAAGTGCAGGTAACAGTGACAGATTCTGAGCAGAGCTAAAATGCCTAACACAATGAGAAAAGGTCCTTTCATCGCATCTTGACATTAAGGGTGCCAAGATATGATAGGATGCCTTTTTTTTATAAAGAGTGGACCACTTACACATGTAAATTTTAAAATAACAAAATTTAAAATAGTCACAATTAAAAAGGAAAAGATAAATTTTAATTTTTTGGATCTCCTTTAAAAAGATTCCCTGAAACACGTTGAGACCTATCCGTGCCATTCTTTGATGGGGTTCTGACATGAAACACACTAAGATTACACGTGCCATTTACTCCAAATAAAATCACCAAGGAGGAGGCTGCAACAAGGTCCAACTCCCGTGTTTCTGTTTCTCCTGACCTTATTAACTTAATATAACTCTCCACAGTACAATCCCAATTTAAATATGGTCATCCTATATTGCTCAAACCACTACAGTGGAAGTTCTCAACTCCCTGTCTCCCAGCTGTGATTCCCTCTCTTAAAAACAATTGTAGGATGAGAGGTCAGGGCTATATCAGGGATTCATTCAAGCTGCATGTTCTCCAGGAAGACTGTACCTTTTGGAACTGACGTCTTCCCCTCTCCCTCATTACTAATATCAGAGGATCAAGTATTTCTTTCTCAGTTTTACAGGAAAGCAAACTGAGGGCCATGAAGATCAGTGGGTTGCTGTGACGGTCACTGTGTGTGTGACTTTCACAAGAACAGCAGGGCTGGAATCAGTGAGCACCACAGCTTGAAACAGGAGAAAATGCAAGGTAAAGGGATGGCGACTGTGATCCCTGTCCAGGTGCCTTCAGCAGGTCCATCTCAGCTGGGCTCCTGTCCCTCAACTGTGTGACAAGAGGCTGGAACTAGATGTGGGCTGTGGTCTCCTCCCGCTATCCATCCCAGAGAGCCATCCAGAAACCCTTCCCCTTTATAGACAACGAACCCAAAATGGAAACATGAAGCAATGGCCCGAGAGCCAAAGCCTCTCCTAAACTGGCAATCACATCTTTGAGTGGCATTTCTTCATTATTTTTGTTTTTTGTTCTTTCTTTTCTGAGCGGCATATTTCTTCTTTTATGATGTAACTGCTCACATCCAACATTCATCTGATAAAGCGATTTTTGGCAGAATCTCTAACTTAAATCTAATTATTCCTATTCAAAATGCAATTTAGTTTATAACAATATGCTTTACAATAAAGTTCTCAGGAGGACGCTGGGGTTAAAGAGTGAATCTGTCCTTTGTGCTCTGCGGTATAATACCCACATCCTTGGGTATTTTATCACAGTGCACCTGGTCTCAAGTGTCAACAACATACCTGATTTCACCCTAAAAGCACAAACCAGACTAATGAGCCTTGGGAAAACGCTCTCCAAGAGAGGCTTTCTCTATAAGGCATGGAATTTGGTATCCGTTTTCTAAGATTATCTCTTCTATCCCTTCATCTGGGTGGGGTCACAAGCATGGTTTGCTATGTGAAAATTCATCAATGTCTAAGCTACAATGTGAGCACTTTTCTGTACATAGATCCTCTCTCAAAACATGGTATTACCCTTTGTTATGGGGCTGAATTATGTCTCCCAAAAAGTTATGCTGAAGTCTCACCTCCAGAACTCGTGCGTGTGGCCTTATTTGGAAATAGGATCATTGTAGGTGTAACCAGTGATGATAATGTCATCCTGGATTAGAGGGTCCTAATCCAATGACGGTGTCCACAAAAGACAAGAGAAATTTGGACGCAGATAAACAGGGGAGAACTATGTGGAGATGGAGGCAGGGATTGGCACGATGCATCTGCAAGTCAAGGAATGCCTGGAGTCACAGAAGCAGGATAAGCAAGGAACGATCTTCCCCTAGAGCCTTCAGAAGGAGGCTCTGCAGACACCCTGATCGCAGACTTCTGGCCTCCAGGCCTCTTTACTATGAGAGAATACATTCCTGTTGCTTTAAGTTTTGTGGTAAGTACTGTTATGACAGCCCTATGAAACTGATGTAGCTTCTATTAGCTACAAGAGATGGGCTACCAAGCAAGCACAAAGAATTGCTGGTGTGGCCACTGAACATCCCAGAATGAGACCAGGCTGCCCCAAGCCTCGGTACGCCGAAGAATCTGCAACTGGGTGTTCATCAGCTGCTCACCCACGCCTCTCCTGGAGTCCCAGCAGGTGAATCTGGGGTGCCCGACCCCTCCACGGGATGCTTCTGGATCCTGTCCCAGGCAGAAAACACAGGCTTGCTTAGGAGCTGGTGGTGCTGGGTCTGTCAGCACCCAAAAAATACATCTATATAAAAACAGACTTTCCTATTAAAGAGGAAACTATCCACAATCCCACTGAGAAGCATATTCTCAAGTTCTGTAAAGATGCCAGCTTTTCTAGATTGGTTCCACTGTATACCGAGGAATGCAGAGTGAGGCACATAGTAGGTCTACATCCATCCATTGTTAACTTGCATGGGCACCACTGGCTAAACAGGGTACATTTCCAGCTCTCCCCAGAGATACTAACACACATTAGAGGCAAACCAGTGACCCTTTCTGGGCCTCAGTTTCCTTATCGAAAAAACAATCAGTTCAATCCTAAAGATCTCTTCGAGCTTTACAATTCTGCCATGACAAATTACAATCATCATTTTCATTGCAGGTCAAATTTGATGGTCTTTAAAACTGCTATTCATACAAATTTTTGCACTAATATGGTGTGACGGGAAGTCACAGCTTATCCCAGAAGGAAGGTGGACATAACAGAAAGAGAGAGCCTTTGGTAGACTCAGCTCAGAGCACACCTTCAAGGTGGTGGCAATAAGAACTAAGCCTCAGATGCCATGAAAAGCCAGCAAGGAGCTAGACTAAGCTTAGCTGGAAAACGCCTGCAGGTGGTCTAGGAATCAGAGGGTAATTTCTTTGGTCCCCCCTCCCCTGCCAAGGCAGAAAGTGAAGGATCCTTCTTAAAAGCAATGCATGGGAAAAAAGTCTGGTTAATTAAATGTTCCAATTAAAGCATTAGCCGAATATGTTGGTTGCCCAGAGGTAGCGAGTTTTTTTCTGATTACCACATCAACCTTTTCATGGGCACTAACCTCCTCCAAAGCATGTGAATTGTTCAGCAGCTAGCAGTCATGCCTTACATTCCAACACATCTTGATCCACTTCACGAGAGACTGCTTTTAACGAGCGTGCCCTCTCTACGGGACCATAACTCTTTAACGGAACAGAACAAGGTAGTGACAGACCTGTCTCCAAATACACTGAACTCCTGTTAATTCAAAACTAGAAACTGAAGGGATACAACAGACTTCAGTCACCTGGGGAAGATCCATGACTCTCAGTTAAATTCCAGTTTAAATGGTCAACAATTGATGAACAGTTTTACTACATAATAAAGTTTTGAACTTTATATCTTTATAATAGCAAGAGAGGAGTTAAACAGGGCAACGTGAGGGAACCTCTTGGGATGGAAATGTCTTGTGTCTTGACTGTCCCTATGTCAATATCATGCCTGTAAAATCCCAGCACTTTGGGAGGCCAAGGCAGAAGGACCACTGGAGACCAGGAGTTTGAGACCAGCATGGGCAATGCAGCAACACCCCATCTTTACAAAAAATACAAAAACGTGTCAGGTACGGTGGTGCACAGTTGTGGTCCCAGCTACAGAAAAGGATCGCTTGGGCCCAGGAGGTTGAGGTTGAGGCTGCAGTCAGCCATGATCATGCCACTGCACTCCAGCCTGGATGACAGAATGAGACTCTATCTTAAAAAAAAAAAAAGGCAACATCCTAGTTGAAACATTGTTACCATCATATTACAAAGAAGGTACTACTGCCATGAGGGGAACCTGGGTACAGAACCCATG